CATTGTCGTTGTCATTGCCTTGAATATGCATATGGACAGTTTTATGTATATGCATGTTAAGCTTAGTCATATGTATATGAGTGCTAAGCTTAGTTGTATGTATATGATGTTAAGCTTAGTTGGGTTATTGTAACTCCGCCAGTAATAGTTTTTTGTTTGCCATCTGGCTGACTTGAACTGGGTTGAGGCCCTATTGTTGTTATTTTTTTGAAAAGGTACAATTTGTACATATATAAAAAATCAGCATTAAGGCTGCTGCTGGGGGGAGGGGGTTGTTATTATTGTTGCTGTTGCTGTCATATTCTCTAATAACTTTGTGCATGCAGGTGTTAAGCATTCAATTGAAATACGCTCTCTGTTTGTCCTGAGTTGTTTTTAACCTTAATCAATTATAGGGAGGTATTATGAACCTTTACTATTTGAAAAGATTGGGAAATGATACAAGGTACTAGTTAATTTAGGGTCAAGATGCTTAGAATGATTAAGTTATAGTTCGATGGTGACAAATTATAGTAAAGTTGTCATTTTTAGGATTTGGAATGAGTCATTTGTTGATTTTTTTTGTATATCTGGTGTATTTTTATCTCTATAACTGCCAATGATGACTTGCATCATTCTGCTGTGGGTCAGTTCTTATGTTCTCATCTTTTTTTCTAGAGATTGTAGACCGGGCTTGGTGATTTTAAGAATTTTTGTGTTTGAATGAAATTACAAACGATTGACATGATTATGTTTCCAATTGGTGAATCTTTTTTTTTCCTGCAGATGCACATTAAGGTGCCCTTGATATGTCATTTCATGAAGTGCAGTAAGAACATCCCATATTTCTGTTGAATTATTGTGCTGTGCATTTCGAGAAAAAGTGATTAGATATCAATCAAGCTCCTAGTGAACTTAGTAAATAGGGTCTTCTGTTGTATCGACACAACAGTAAATTTGAAAGTGGTGTTAGTTAAAGAATACCATGTGAAGAAGGATCTTAGTTTATCTTAATCGGGCCTTTTTGTCACAGCTAATATATGAAAGTAATATTATTTCTAATATGCTTATTTGGAGATTTGTGGTGCAGAAATGCCTTGGTTTATACGGGCTGACTATCCTGAGGATATTTATGATCTTGCTCTATTTTATGCAGGGGAATCATAATTGTGAAGCTACGACGTGGACAGGAGTTAAGGTTAAGAGCTATAGCACGGAAAGGAATTGGCAAAGATCACGCGAAATGGTCACCTGCAGCAACTGTGACTTTCATGTATGAACCAGAGATCTATATCAATGAGGACATGATGGAATCCTTGACTCTCGAGGAGAAAACAGAATTAGTTGAGAGTAGTCCCACAAAAGTCTTTGGCATTGACCCCGAGAACAAACAGGTTGGTTGAACTTCGTACTTTATATGTTTTATTGCTATAAAATGCTATACTGCTATAACTGAACATTCCTCTTCTGTTCAGCACTTTGTGGGGTTCCTATTACTTTTTCAATGAACAGCATGTCATGCTTTATGTGGTGATGAATGAAACGCTTCCTCTGTCCCATTTATCCTGACATTATCTCTAAGATTCTTATCATGCTCAGAGTCTGCCAGTTCATGGTATACCGATAAATGATTCACTTGACTAGGTAACTGGGAAATGCATGATAGTTGGAAATCCTAGTGCCCCTCCTGGAATTCCTCTATGTGGTAGTAGATGGCCCAATATGATATGGGACTATGCCTCTGGTGAGATTCCATGTCTTTTTTTTGAGAAGGTAACATTTTTTTGTATAACTACTTGCTGCATAAAAACTACAGCTGTCCATACTTGCAAGGAAATATAGGAAGATGTACTAAGATATAACCTACTTACAGAGATCCTAGAACATCAATAAAAGATTCTATGTCTTCCATATATTCATGTTTACACCAAAAATAGAAAAGGGCTAGGCACTTCATCTTCAGTTTCTGGATAGAGCTATCTTTAATATCTCTCTTTCCAAACTGTCCACCAAATGCAAGCAGGGATAATTTTCCATCTTTCTTTCTGTTCTGACTGAGTGCTATATTTGTTCCAGCACTTCAAAACTTCAAGTGTATCTCTTGAGATTCCAGTTTCAAAAAAAAATTGAAAAAAAAACCTCAAGTGAATCTCTTGGCATCACCACATGATCCCTTTTAAATTAAGGAAAATCCTCCAAAGTTGTCCAGTTAACAAAGTGAGACTCCATTTTTAGTTATTTGTACATGAGAGTATGTCAAAGATCCATTTTTTATAAAGTGACTGTATCAAAAGGTTCATTTTTATTAGTTGAGTGTATGAAATGATTTCATTTTTATAAAGTGAGTATATCAAAAGATCCATTTTTTATGAAGTGAATGTATCAAATGATTCATTTTTATAAAGTGAGTATGTCAGAAAATTCATTTTTGAAGTGAGTTTAAATGATTCGTTTTCTATAAAGTAGTATATCAAAAGATTCATGTAAAGTTAAATAGAACTAAAATGAGCTATATGTTTCTCTTGGGAATAGATCCTGGATAGGTCTTGGCAAGTGCAGGAAAAAATTACACTTTTCACAAAATTTGACACATTTTCAGATGAAAAGAAAGTATGTGTAGAAGAGTTAATTTGGCATAGAGGGAGTACTTGGGCTTAATTGGTTGATACAGCTATCCTGGATTGCTTGTGTGTAAAAATTATGAGCAAGCTCCTCATATGTGGTAATAAGTAACTGTGGATCATGAATTGGTTATTGCATACTACCATTTTGTTTACAATTTTGTCTGATTGGTAAAAGTGGTCATAACTAATGTATAGAGTGACCCTTTTAGTTCCTTTTTTTTTGTTTTCTGAAAACTGTTCATGAATTGTAGGTTTATTAATGTGTCACAAACAACAATTTTTTTTCAATAATGTATTGGTACCCATCTGTGGAGAAATTTACCATGTACTCACACCTGAACTAAGTGTGATAACTTCCACTGGGATGCTTTGAGCTTGTTATGGTAGAGAGAATATAGCAAGAAAAATTAAGAGAAACTAAGGGGGGAATGTCAAACCTAAGTAGTCATCTCCCGTCCCGCTTTCCTGAAAAGTTGACTCGGGTCGTCCTTAGTGGTTTGGTCCAGGATAGGCCTTTATCTCTAATGTTTTCTCTTGTGAATATGGTGGACTCTGCTGTGTTCCAATTGAGAAGCAATGACAGAAAACAGTTAAAGCATGCTGGAAAATTAAAACTAAAATTTCTGGTTTACGAGCTATTGCATAGGAGAGGGGTTTTACCCTGTGCGCACTCAAAAGGTTAGCTAGCGGCTGCGGGTTTCCCTTGTCGTCAAAAAAAACACTAAAATTTCTGGATATTTGTTAGATGTGAGTAAGCAAACATTTTCACGTGAAGCATCATTTTTTTGCTAAATCTGAATGTGGGGGGTGTAATAGTGTATTGATTTTTTTCATTACATTAACTTTCTATGAGCTTATTTAGGAAAATGCTAATTGCTTGCTTTTTGAAATGAAAGAAAAATAAACAACTGAATTTTATCATTTGATTGTAAAGGAGAATTTCAGCATTAGGACTTCTAGTGGTATTTCTGTTTATTGGTCAACTATAACTTCATTAGATATAAAAGATCTGAAGAATAGGATTGCAACTCAAGGTATTTTGGCTAATAAAAGCAAGATTTAGAAGATCGGACCAAAACAAGATTTTGAAGCCTTCTTTACAGAGGTTTATATAGGGATTTTAATTCTAATAGAAGCCACCAAATTCCAATCAGACCTACAAGTCATAATCATTTGTATGAGGGGTCGCATGTTTTCCTTTCCATTCAGCATATTGTAAAAAAAAAACAGAATTAGTTTGTTCTGGGCTTGCTCGTTGGTCAATCTACTGAAGCCTGGAAAATGAGGGAGATCTCATCTTTTAACCTTAGTCTGATGACAAGGGAAACAAGTATTAATAGGTTAATGAGAGAAGCAACTTGAGACATCTCCATTTAATTCCTTTTATAGGTTTGTCATGTATATTCTTCTCTGGGAAGCTCTACTCGTAACATCTCCAATTTCATCTTCATCTTTACAGGTTATTGTCGTTGATCCTGAGGCATATACTTACGATGATGAGGTGCTCAAGAAGGCTGAAGCCATGGGAAAACCTGGAGTTGTAGAGATACATGCCAAGGAAGATAGTTTTATTTTCACAGTTGAAACAACTGGCGCAGTCAAAGCTTCACAATTGGTGCTCAATGCAATAGAAGTGCTTAAGCAGAAGTTGGATGCAGTACGCCTTTCAGATGACACCGTTGAAGCAGACGATCAGTTTGGAGAGCTGGGCGCTCATATGCGTGGAGGTTAAAAACCGCGAAAACTGTTCATGTTTAATATATCTCCTGTAACAAGACATCCTTAAACTAACTTACCCATTTTCCCTTTAGCAACTTACCTCGACTGATGATGGAAACGTAGGACACTCTTTCTGTTTCGCTTAAGTACATGTTTTTGTCCATTGTTTTGTACTGATACTGCACTTCCTCCGTTGGATTTCATCTCGCAATTGATCATCAATCCCCCGTCTATGGATTTTGTTTCGAGCTGAGTCTATTAAAATAGTCTCTCTATCTTTACGACTCACGAGAAGGTTAAGGTTGTGTACACAATCACCTCACAAGGTACGAATAAGGCTATATACGCATCACCTTTCCCTTATCTATACGTTTTGTATATTATTTATGTAAATAATATGCATGTCCAAACGATAGTACGTGAAAGGATAAAACATTATTACTTCAAGTAAAAATAAAGTTATTTAGAAATACTGCTTCGCTGATCAGTTGCTTATCCAGAAAAGGAGGAAAACAACATGTAACAATGGCTTGTGTTATTATATGAAAATTTTAACACAGTGGTCAATTCTACCCTTGAATTCACTCTATTATTACCATTAAACCACTGTCTACTCCTCTATTTAAACATTTTTCCTTCCAAGTGTTATTATATGAAAATAAAGTAAAGTAGAAATCAATGGCTTGTGTTACTAAATTGCAAGTTGAGAATAATGTGTTCCCATCAAAAGTGGTGAAGCCTCCTAGTTCCAACAATACCTTTTTCCTTGGTGGAGCAGGTTTTCTTAATTAATTTTTGCACAAAAAATGAACTTTTTTTTTTAAAAAAAAAAATCTATCGATAAATTAACTATATCTTGCATGTATAATGGTGTACGTCTTTACTATGACTATTTTCATGATAATAACTCAGTTACTTGACTACTAGTCTATAATGTAATAGCTTTGCCCTATACGAATGTTAGTAACTCAGTTATTTGACTACAAATATTGTAATCCCCTTCCTCGTCCCCAATTAAATAATAAAAGTGTGATCTTGCTTACTTTGTCATGAGTTCTGTGTAAGGGAGGAGGGTTGTCGTAGGGTGTGATAGCTCGTAAAACTTGTCAATTCAGGTTCAATTTTTAACTCAGCATGTTAGAGCTTGCATGTGGTAGGGTGGAAGTAAGCATAAAACTTGTTAATTCGCGATGAATCAAAAACTTGTTTATAACTGAGACGTAGTTGTTGTTGTATAAACTATGGATCTAATGCAGGACATAGAGGTTTAGAAGTTGAAGGGAAATTTGTGAAGTTTAGTGTGATAGGAGTGTACTTGGAAGAGAATGTTGTTCCATTTCTCGCGGTTAAATGGAAAGGGAGAAGCTCTGAGGAGTTGACATATTCACTCGAGTTCTTCAGAGATATCGTTACAGGTATTTGCTAAGATTGAAATGTCAATGTAATAGCTCGGGATTCTACTATAACTCATTTGATTTAGTGAGTTTATACACTCTGCATTATCCGTCTTGAGTTGAGTATAACTTGGGAAATCCTCTACATCGGAGTTAATGTTTCACCTATCTTAGGTCCGTTTGAGAAATTCATGCGTGTGACGTTGCTGTTGCCCTTGACTGGCAAGCAATTCTCCGAGAAGGTGGCAGGAAATTGCGTTGCTATTATGAAAGCGATGGGAAACTACAGTGATGCAGAGAGACAGGCTATCGAAAAGTTCCTCAATGTTTTCCAGAGTGAAACTTTCTCACCTGGTGCTTCCATCCTTTTTACTCAATCAGTGGTTGGATCATTGACGGTATGTATCACTTGCACGTTGCATCATCGAGTTATTAGGATCCTGTGGAGTGTGGACTATATGTATGCATCAAAAAATCGATTGTACTATTCATCTATAAGTAAAGTTTCATTGGTGTAAACTTCTATATCCCTTTTTTTTCGGTGTTCAGATTAGCTTCTCTGACGATGATTCAGTTCCTGGCACGGGGAATGTTGTTATAGAGAACAAGCCATTGTCAGAGGCTGTGCTGGAATCGATGATTGGCAAGAACGGAGTTTCCCCTGCAGCAAAGCGTAGTCTTGCTAAAAGAGTATCAGAGATGTTGGAAAAGAGCAATGCTGAGGAGTCTACTTAGGATTCGATGTGATGTCGTTAAGGTTGGCTGAGTATACTAGACGAATAATTTAGCCTAGCTTCTGAGAGTGTGTTTCGATAAATATTTTTGAGTATGGAAATAACTAATGACAATAAGTGATGGAAACATTTCACTGTTTGTTGTGTTTTCATCTTCTTTCCAAAATATGTTTGTGGTTGTATGCATCAAGTACTCAATAAAAATACTCTCTATTGAGGTGTTTCACCTTTATTGATACTCATTTGATATCAACAAGGTACTTGTTTTAAAGTATGGTTGAGATGATTTCAAATAATTAAGCTTTGGTTGCATATGTGATGTAATACATTATGAACAATTCTAAAAGGGGGAAAATTATAGTTGTTTGGGTTGGGATAGACGAGTAGTAACGTTGCTGAGATGGATGTAAAGGCATAACAAGAGTCAGGACGGATAAGAGTAGGATTGAAGTTATTCAGGTCAAGGTGGGAGTGGTCTCCATGGAGGATAAGATGCGGCTCGTGGAGAGTGAGACTGAGATGATTTCGACATGTGAAGAGGAAATGTGTGGATGCCCTGCTAATGAGGCACGAGAAGTTGGATGTAGAGTATTCTTCTTATTAACTCTACCAAACGATCTCTAAGTAACAATATGGGAATTGTTACGAAGGGATTTGCCTATTTTTATAAAAAATGTCTTGAATCCTAACTAACCATAGCTAAGTTCTAAATTAACTATAGTTTAGTGATATGATATAAATAAGAATTAATTTGACTTTCCCATCTAGCTAATTTAGGCAGGGTATAAGGTCTGACTTTGAATGTGAATCAGTAGCTACTTTCAAAAAAAAAAATTAAAAATAAAATTATAATAATCAATTGTGTTAAACTTTTTATTTTTGGAATCGTTATAAAATCTCCATAAATAGGATTAAATCTTATTTCATGGCATTAATTACTTGAGGTTCCTTTTTAAGAAAATCTTTAATCTCTATTTTTGAATTAGACTAATCGGTTATATTTTAGTTGTACTCGTGAGGGTCATTATCAAATTCACTTTTAACTCTGACTTGTATCATTCAAATATTTACGGATGATATAACTAGTCAATATATTCTTCTTTATATCAATATTCAATATATACTTTATTGAGATAGGCGTAATTTTCTCTTCAAAAATTATACATGAGACATTTTATCACGTACGATAATACATATCCAATAAATTCTCAATACAAATCATGCAAAAATACTCAAATATATTAAATTAATCACATCTTTTCAGAAAAATTTGAAAACTTTTCTTTGTGGCAAATGGCAATAATAGGGGAAAATGTATAATTACCTCATCAATCTATGCCTGAAATTTCATAGACATATTTATACTATACTAAGGTCTTATTACCTCTGAACTAATTTTATAAATAATTTTCTACCCCTTTTCAGTCTACGTGACACTAACTTGGAAAAAAAATGGCAACACACGCTGGACCCACAAGATAGTACCATGTAGGGCGAAAAAGGCTACAAAAAAATTTATAAAATAAGTTTAGGAAGGTAATAGGACCTTAATATAGTATAAGTATCTCTGCAATTTCGAGAATAAATTGAAGGGTACCTGTGCATTTTCTCCAATAATATCAATATATCAAATTGACACCATTGTCTTTATCTTTATTTTGATACCCTTGGGCCTCTACAAAAACAAATTAAAATTACGAAATGAAAGAAATTCCACCTTTACATTCTCTTATTACCATTATCCCATATTAGTTTAACAAATTTTCAAAATTTCTCACTTTCACGCATCAGATTAATGTATCAGCGCATCAAATTAATGTATCTCACATATCAGATTAATATATCTCGCGCATCATATTGGTGTATTATGTATAAAATGTACATCAGATTAATGTATCATGTATAAATGTAATATATTTCGCTCATCAAATTAATGTATTAGCGTTTATATTATTGTATCAGTTTGAGAGATTTTTGTAATTATTAACTTTTAAGGGACAAATAATAATTTTACCTTAAAATTATGAAAAAGAAACACAATAATTTTGTTGCTTCGTCATTTCAAATTATTAGTTATCATGTTATTTTTCTTAAGCTTTAATTAATGTTCAAAATATTAAATTAGATTTCAATATCCTCAAATACAATTTTGAATATTTAAAATATATATATATATATATATATATATATATATATATATATATATATATATATATATATTATTAGTCTTCCTATTGGATTTTTTTCAATCCATCCCGACCCATTTCAAAGAACATGTTTATTACGTAATTTTTTTTCCTAAAATGAAAAATTTTATGACTAGGATATTAATTTTTCAAAATTTCTTCTAATTTAGACAAAAACTTTATTATAACTTTTTGGATCTTTTCATGTAGTGTTTTAGAAACATAGAAGGAGGAAAAACTACAATAGCTATGACAATAACTTACCGAAGGCTTTATATTATTTTGTCTTTACTTTATTTATTGAATTTTCAATCATTTTTATCTAATTAAGTTGTACACTACGATTAAAAAATCTGAAGCCACAGTAAATTTTTCTATATTTTTAATCGAAGTGTGCAAAGTAAATAATCGATAAATATTATTAGACTAAAAAATATTTATTAGATAAAAAGTATTAATTTAACTCTCGAAATACGAAATAATTGAGGCATTTATTAGTTAAAGAAAGTTGGGTAAGGCTATAAGTAGTTTGACTGGCGGCAATTTGGTGCGTAAGAACTGTGAGCCATTAACCGTACCTAACAACTAAATCATTGTCGGTCAATTTTACCCTTGAATAAACTCTATTATTACCATTATACCACTGTGTCTTCTTCTATATAAAATTTTCCGTGTAAAAGTGGAATACTAATAGATCTTAAATGGCGGTTGTTACAAAATTGCAGGTAGAGAATCACGTGTTCCCACCAACAATGGTGAATCCTCTGGGCTCCAACAATATGTTTTTTCTCGCCGGCGCAGGTTTTGTTAATTTTTTTTAATTTTTTTTTTAATAATGTATGGTTGAATAATTTCTTATGTGTGGGTTTTGTAGCTGGCGTAAAACTTGTTAATTCATGATGAATTCGAGTGGTAGAGAGTTCAATGTGGTTAGGTTTTGTTGTTTTATTTGGAGAAAAGGATAAATATATTTGAAATATTTTAAATGGTATGCAGACACCAACCAATGTTGGTGATTATGCCCTTTAAAAACTAGAGCGTACAGTATATATGTGCGGTTGGTGTTTATGCCCTTCAAAAACTAGAGCATAGAGTATATATGTTCTTCAATGTAAAGAAAGACTAAATCGGAACACATCTGTCGATTTTATATTTAATAAATGTTGAATCATGTGTTAAGAGTGAGATTCGAACCTTGGTACAACAACACTTAAAAAGTCTTAAAGTACCCATCTAGGAGCTATTGGGCCAACTAAATCATTTATTCATTGGGTGTTTTATGTTAATTTTATACAAATACCTACCGATTTCTACATAGATATATATATTCTGTAACGAAGTTAATGGGTGCTCGATCACCCGGCGGACACCATGTGAGTCCGCCTCTGGACACGTGTATGTAGTGGATAATATTATGACACATGTATATAGTGGATAATACTATGACACATGTATGTAGTGGACAAGATTATGACACGTGTATGTACCTTGAACAAAGGGGTTCATCCGAATTCCCTTCGTTTATTCATGTGTCTAATTTTATAGATTTTGAACCCCCTTATTGAAAATTCAGACTCCGTCTCTTCGTGTATGTCCGTTAGTATTAAGGGTATATATGATCTATTTTTGAATTATAGGGGCGCCAATGTCCCAAAAGTATAACGAATGGTATCTGCATACCATGTATGAGAGTTTGAGGTATATTTGGCCTTTTTTTTCTTTTTTCTTTATAAAGTATGGTCGAATGATTTCTTATGTGTGTTTGGTAGCTGCGGTGAAACTTGTTAATTCATGATGAATTCGAGTAACAGAGAATTCAATTTGGTTAGTTTTGTTATTTTTTTTATAATGTATGGTTGAATAATTACTTGTGTGTTTTGTTAATTCATGATGAATTCTCATGGTTGTTTAGGTTTTTTATTTTTCTATAATATATGGTAGAATAATTTTTTTTATGTGTTTAGCTGGCTTAAAACTTGTTAATTCATGATGAATTCTCGTAGTAAAGAATTCAATGTGTTTAGTTTTTTTAAAAAAAAATAATGTATGGTTGAATTAAAAAAATTTATGTGTCTGGTAGCTAGTGTAAAACTTGTTAATTCATGATGATTCTCGTAGTACAGAATCCAATTTGTTTATGTATAATGAATTTAATTTCGATATGTGTTTAGGGAATAGAGGTTTGGAGATTGAAGGAAAATTTGTGAAGTTTACTGCGATCGGTGTGTACTTGGAAGAGAGTGCTATTCCATTTCTAGCTGATAAATGGAAAGGGAAAAGCTCTGAGGAGTTGGAACATTCAGTCGAATTCTTCAGGGATATCGTTACAGGTATTTGCTGAATAGAAGAATTAAGCTGGGGTTTATTATGTAAGATGCTAAGTATTAGGGTCTTAATACAATCAAGAGATTTGTTTCCATCGAAAATTAACGTTTGATAATATTTTCATCTTTCCTCTCTGGTAGGTCCATTTGAGAAATTCACTCGAGTGACTATGATCTTGCCCTTGACGGGTAAGCAATACTCTGAGAAGGTAGCAGAAAATTGTGTTGCATATTGGAAAGCAATAGGAACCTACAGTGATGCAGAGATGCAGGCCATTGAGAAGTTCCTCGATGTTTTCCAGAGTGAAACCTTCCCACCTGGTGCCTCCATCCTTTTTACTCAATCACCGCTTGGATCATTGACAGTATGTATGATCAACTATATTGAACGATAACCAAAAAAAAAAAAAAGACTTTTGCAAGTTTCATCATCGATTAGGACCCTTTGGACAATATTTGTGCACCAAAAAAAATGGATTGCATTTATCTATAAGCTCATTGATGTTTCTTTTGTATTTTTTTGTCCGAGTCCAGATTAGCTTCTCTGAAGATGATTCAGTTCCTTGTGTTGGGAATGCTGTTATAGAGAACAAACAATTGTCAGAAGCAGTGCTGGATTCCATAATTGGCGAGCACGGAGTTTCCCCTGCAGCAAAGTGTAGTATTGCAAAAAGAGTATCAGAACTGTTGGTTTGTGAAAAACCAGGAAGTGAGCTATCGTCAGTCCAGTAACTGGACTACAGAAATCGAAGAGAAATAGA